AGACCGAATGTGAGGCAGATTTTGTCTATTTTTCTCTCCCATTAACTAAATTAAAAGGTTTATCCACTTCATTTTTGTACAATTATTGATACTAACATATCTGAATCTAGAACATTGTTAGAACAATATTATAATAAATGTATCATCCTAATATGAACCGACTGTTACCGATGTGAAAACTTTTTTCCCCAGAGGGACAGATTTTACATAAATTTTCCCGCTAAATATAATAAAACAAAATCAATATATAGACCCAGAGGAGAAACCGAATCTAATATACATAAGTTGTCAAGAATTCAGGGGTGGTTCGTTTCAAATGTCCAGGAAATTTTTCATTTTTCCTTTCTTACAAGAGAAACCTGCAACTATTACTCTAGTAAACACTAATTTTTTAGTTCAAAAAATCATGCTAAGGCAGGTTTTTTAATGCACTTATTATATTGTTGCATATTTTGAATATTTTACAAAAAAATCCGACCCATGTACGAGCACACTTATAATTAAAAAGCAGATTTTGAAATTTTAGACACATTTAGTCTGAAAATATGAATCTATTTTTTTGTTTATTCTAAAAACTGCCATATGCTTTCATTCGACGAATTTTGGAAAATCATAAAAATCTTTGCAAAAATGAAGCCAAAAGCAGCTTCTGGAAATCGAAATCTTTGAAAGAATCTTTTTAGATAATTTTCTAGGGTAGTCGAAAAAAGGTCAAAATTTTCAAAAAAAAATCAAAAAAATCTAAGATTTAGATCTCAACGTTCTGATTCGAAAAATATAGCGTGTTTATGGACACGGAACGAGATTTTAGAAAGATACGGTCTGAAAAGTTTGTTTATGATTCTAAAATTTGCCGTAATATTTCATTGGAGAATTCTGGGAAAATCGTAGGCATTTTTGACGTAATGAAGCCAAAAGTAGCTTCTGAAGTTCTAAATCTCTAAAAAATCTGTTTTTTAGAGTTTAGATTTTCAAAAGGAGGTCAAAATTTTCGTAAAGGGAAAATTGAGCTTTCGAAAAGGTTGTCTTAAATTTCACAAAAATTCTGGGTTTTAGAAATACATGTTCCGTAAAAAATCTTTACGTCAATTTGACGATCACTTACAAAAACAAAATATCTATTTAGATAGATCAAAAAACTTGAAAGTTGCCGTCAAATTCATCCTATATAATTTTTGGGTATTTTTAATATTATAAGATGAAGAAATCTATGTGTCTAAAATGAAGATATCTCCAAAATTATTTTTAGTAATAAAAATCCAACTGATTTCGGATACAAAGTAGTGAATCAGTGAAATTTCGAAAAAAAAAAAATGAGGGGCTAGGATTTTTTTAATCCAAAAAATTGCCATACTATATCATTGGACGATTCTGGGAAAGGTGTTTGAATTTTTGAAGAAATGAAGCCAAAAGAAGCTTCGGTAAGTCGAAATCTATAAAAAAAATCTTTTTGGGTAATCTTCTAATGTGGTCAAATTTTCATAAAAGAAAGTGTGGGAACACTGAATTTTCAAAGTTAGTTGTCTAAAAATCCATAAAAATTTTAAAATGCTAATGTTGACGTCCTGATTAAAAAAATATCATGACATCGTCGAATCGGAATTAGTTTTTAGAAAATTCTATCTGAAAATGTGTTTTGTTTAAATCCCAAAATTTGACATCTTATTTCTTGGGCGATTTTGGAAAAATCGTAGAAATTTTTGGGAAAATGAGGCCAAAGTGGCTTCTGGAGGTCTAAATCTTAAAAAAAAATCTCTTTATGTAATTTTCGAAGGTGGTCGAAAAAAGGTCAAAATTGGGGAAAAATTGAGCTCCCGAAAAAAAAGTCTAAAAATTCATAAAAATTCTAGGATATAGATCTGGACGTGCAGATTCGAAAAATATAGCGTATTGATAGACCGAGAACGAGATTTTGAAATACATAATATAAGTCCATAAGTCCAAGTTCAAGAAAAATCGTTAAAAATTTCTTTACGGCAATTTGACGTTCACTTACAAAAAAAAACTTAAAAATTTAGCCACTGTGGACAGATTCATCCTAAACAATTTTTGAGTTTTTTATCTTGTTATGAAATGAAGAAATCTATGGATACAGAAAAGACGCCTCCAAAATTATTTTACATACCTAAGACAAAGTAGTGAATGGTAAAATTTCGAAAAAAAAAAACTGAAGTGTTATATCTTCTACATTTGGACACATGGATTTTTTAAATTAGTTTTTCTCTGTTGTGTGATAGAGTTAGTATGCCATTTTTTGAACACCTGTATTTTTTTAATCCTGAAAATTATCATGTTATTTCATTAGACGACTCTGAGAAATTTGTTAAAATTTTTGAAAAAGTAAAGCGAAAAAAGCCTTCTGGCGATCGAAATCTACGAGAAAAATCTCTCTAGTTAATTTTCGAAGTTGATCGAAGGAAACTCTCATTTTTCGTAAATGAGAGTTTGGAAAAAGTGAGCTTTTGAAAAATTTGCCCAAAAATCCACAAAAAGTCTGATGTGTAGATTTCGACATGGAGAAATTGAATTAATTTTTGAAGAAATGGGCCAAAAGAAGCTTCTGGAGGTTGAAATGTACAGAAAATTCTCCTCCGGTAATTTTCAAAGGTCTCGAAAAAAGATCCAAATTTTCATAAAAGTAAATGAAAATAATCAGCTTTTGAAAAATTGCCTAAAAAAATGTCCAAAAAATCCTGTAATATAATTTTCGACGTACTGACTCGAAAAGTACAGTGTGTTTATGGACCCGAGACGAGTTTTATAAATATTCGACCTGAAAATAAATTTATTTTTAAATCCAAAAAATGGTCATACTATTTCACTGAACGATTCTGGGAAAATTTAACGAATTTTTGAAGAAACGAGGCCAAAAGCAGTTTCTGGAGTTTGAAATTTTCGAAATATTCTCTTTAGCTAATTTTCGGAGGTGGTCGAAAAAAGATCAAAATTTTCGCGAGGAAATTTAAATTTTTGTGTTTATGGATCCGAACCGAGATTTAAGAAATATTCGGTCTGAGAAATTTGTTCTTAATCCTCGAAATTTCCGTGATATTTCACTGGAGGATTCTGGGAAAATAGTAAGCATTTTTGAAAAAATGAAGCCAAAAGATGCTTCGGGAAATCGAAATCTATAAAAAAATCTTTTTAGGTAATTTTCTAAGGTGGTCAAATTTTCATAAGAGAAAATGTGGAAACACTGAGTTTTCGAAGAAGTTGTCTAAAAATCCACAAAAATTTTACAATGCAAATGTTGACGTCCTGATTAAATAAAAAATATCATGCCTTCGTCGAACCGGAATTAGTTTTTAGAAAATTCTATCTGAAAATGTATTTTTTTTAAATCCGAAAATTTGACATCCTATTTCTTGGGCGATTCTGGAAAAATCGTAGAAATTTTTGGGAAAATGAGGCCAAAAGTGGTCGAAAAAAGGTCAAAATTTTCATAAGGGAAAAATTGAGCTTCCGAAAAATTAGTCTAAAAATTCACAAAAATTCTGGGATATAGACCTCGATGTGCTGATTCGAAAAATACAGCATGTTTATGGACCCGAGACGAGTTTTATAGATATTCCATCTGAAAATAAATTTATTTCAAAGTCCAAAAAATTGTCACAGCTACCATTTCACGGGACGATTCTGGAAAAAAATAAGGAATTTTTCAAGAAACGAGGCCAAAAGCAGTTTCTGGATGTTGAAATTTTCGAAAAGTTCTCTTTGTCTAATTTTCGAAGGTGGTCGAAAAAAAGTCAAAATTTTCAATTACAAAAATTGAGTTTTTAGGAAAATTGTTTAAAAATTCACAAAATATTCTAACATAGAGATCTGTACGTAAGGATTCTAAAAATGTAGCGTGTTTATGGACCCGGAAGGAAATTTTAGAAATTTTGGAAGATTGCGAGAAAAACCTAAGCATTTTTGAAAAAATGAAGCCAAAAAAAAGCTTTCGGAAGTCGACATCTACAAAAAGATCTCTTTGGGTAATCTTCTAAAAAATCTAGAAAAATTGTATATATAAATCTTGATTTGAAAAATATAGCGTCTTTGTCGAATCGAAGTTAGTGAAAATGTATATTTTTTACTCTTAAAATTTGCCATCCTATTTCTATGGACGATTGTGAAAAAACCGTAGAAATTTAGCCAAAAATAGCTTCTGAAAGTCTAAATCTCTGAACAAATTTCTTTAGGTAATTTTCGAAGGTGGTAGAAAAAAAAAGTCGAAATAGTGACGTTACCTCAAAATATCATTATATGCTAATATATCCTTAACTGTACAATTGCTTCACCTGCAGTTGAATAAGCTCCTTTAAAAGTTAATGTCATCATCCCCACCACAAATTCATGACGTTATTTCAAAATTTTGCTAAGTAACTCCCGTCTACAAAATTTAGTACGTATCTTCTAACGAACTGGACTGGTGTAGTGTGCTTTAAGGACGAATAAATTTAGATGATTTTTTTTTTTCATGTACATACATCTTGAAGCATTGCTTACCTTCTACAAATACCCCTTTTGTTGCACTTTTTACACGGAATGTTTAAAAAATATGAAATAATTTATTTCATGAAATATAGAAACGCTTCTAATTAAGACAATTCGGGTAATCAGAAAAAATTCTTTTGTTTATTTTTGATATCATCAAACTACAATAAGTGATATTATAATTGTATTGGTTGTTTTTGTGAAATATATGAAGGTAGCGATTATAAAAATTTCTTCTTCAGAATATTTTTAGGATTACAAGTCCACCTCACCCCACGTTTAAATCTTTTAGAAACTCCACCACCTCTTAACAAAAACATGTCTGCCTGACATTGTCACCCCTCTCCACGTTTCCTAAACTGTCTCCGAAAATTTCCCTAATACACCGTTATCGCCTCATGTGATCTATGCGAACGTGTCCTCCCTCGTTCCTCAATTTCGACAATATTTGCCTCGATGCGCCATTAAGCTTTCCCGACACGTCCTCGACTACACTTTTAACTTCTTGGTATTCTTTTCAGATGTCCTAATATGGGTCAGCCTTGGATGCTAGTTCGCGCGGCTGCTATACTACTCGTGACGAGGCAAACACTGGCCCTGTCCGACATGTAAGTCATCTGCATAAAAAACTGTATAAAGGACGTCCGAATTCCGCTTTTGACATCTGTTCCAGCTTCGAAGACGGAAAATCCGACAAGGAAATCCTGGACCATCTGTTACGGGCTACCCGCTACGACAAGAGGCTGCTGCCTCCGGTGCAAGGTAAAGGCAGAATTAATCACCTGCACGATTTTATCGCTTTTTTCGACTCAGCTTTCGATGCTTGCGTAATTACGTAACGAAGTTTGCTCTTTTCTTATCTTCGTGTACCTGCAATTCGCTGTAATTAAAATTCGCTTTTCATCGGAAAATTGGATTTGTGCTGATCGACCGAGGAGGACGCCGCAGGGAGAGAAGAGTTTTTTAGTTTGGTGTTGTTGTAAATGTGAACAGGATTGTGTTTTGTACTATTTTCATTCGTTATCGTTGGACCGAATCGCCTACGGCGTTGGACAAATGGAACGAGCGTATTGAAACCTCTCACCGAAATTAATTTAAATCAGCGGTTGTCAAACTAAGATTTTATTTACAATTTTCCGAACGTAAATAAAGACATATTAGACCAGAAGAAATTGCATTACTTGGTGGTAGATGGCGCAGGTAACAAAGAGGCGCCAACAAAAAAAATAGTCTAATTAAGGTTATTTCGATTGAACAATATAGCTACTTAAATCTATCGATTTGCAATTTTTTGTTTCGGTTTTTTATTTCCTTTATTTTTTCAGTTATTGGACTTTTTAATGTCTCGATTTTATCGTTTTTTGTTCCTCCAACTTCAATTTTTCATTTTTTCAATTTTTCGACTTATAATTTTTCAATGTTTTTCTTTTTTTGGTTCTGCAGTCTTAAGATATGCAACTCGAAAAGTTTTCATTTTAAAATTTTCCAGTTTCTTAATTTTTCAACTTTTCGATTTGCACTTTTCGGTTTTCAATTTTTCGATAAATTTTCAATTTTTTTCTCACTTTTAGATTTTTCAGTTCCCCGATTCTTCAATTTTTCCTTTCTTCAATTTTTGATTTGCAATTTTTCTACTTTTCATATATTTTTTAAATTTGTTCATTTTTTCAACTTTACGATTTTAAAATTTTTTCGTTCAATCGATTTTTAATTTTTCAATTTCTCCATATTGAACTTTTCAATTCTCAATTTAACAATTTTTGGATTTTCCAATTTTTCGATTTCATTCGTTTTTCTTTCCAATTTTCCAATTCATTAACTTTTTCGATTTTTAATTTTTCAAATGTGTCAACTTTTCGTTCCTTCAATTCTTCGATTTGTAAATGAATGGAAATTATTTTTTTCAATTTTGCAATTTTTCGTTTTTTCAGTTCTTCCATTATTCAATTTTTTTCAACTTTTTGTTTATAGATTTTTTTTCGATTTTTTTATTTTTCGATTTTCACTTTTTCGATTTTCAAAATTTTGGATGTTTTAATTTTTGGATTCTGCAATTTTTCGATTTGCATTTTCACTAGTTTTCAATTTTTTATTTTTCAATTTTTCGACTTATAATTTTTCAATGTTTTTCTTTTTTTGGTTCTGCAGTCTTACGATATGTAACTCTAAGTTTTCATTTTAAAATTTTCCAGTTTCTTGATTTTTCAACTTTTGGACGTTCGTTTTGCAATTTCACGAGTTCTCAATTTTTAATTTTTCAATTTTTCGAATTTCCAATTTCTCATCATTCGATTTTTTGTTTCGGTTTTTAATTGTCTTTATTTTTTCAATTTCAGGGGTTTTCAAATTTCTGATTTTGTAATCTTTTTTTTCAGTGTGAAATTTTCCAATTTTTAGATTTTTCAATTTTTCGATTTGCACTTTTCGGTTTTCAATTTTTCGATAAATTTTCATTTTTTTTCTCACTTTTAGGTTTTTCAGTTCCCCGATTTTTCCTTTCTTCAATTTTTGATTTGCAATTTTTCTACTTTTCACATATTTTTTAAATTTGTTCACTTTTTCAACTTTACGATTTTAAACCTTTTCATTCAATCGATTTTTAATTTTTCAATTTCTCCATATTGAATTTTTCAATTTTTCGATCTTTTAGTGTCACAGTTTCTCAACTTAACAATGTTTGAATTTTCCAATTTGATTCGTTTTTCTTTCCAATTTTCCAATTCATTCGATTTCTAAGTTTTCCGATTTTTAACTTTTCAATTTGTCAGTGTCAACTTTTCGTTTCTTCAGTTTTTCGATTATTCAATTTGTTTCAATATTTTGTTTATAGAATTTTTCGATTTTTTATTTTTCGACTTTTTCGATTTTCAAAATTTTGGAAGTTTCAATTTTTGGATTTTGCAATTTTTCGATATGCGGTTTCACGAGTTTTCAATTTTTTATTTTTCAATTTTTCGATATACAATTGTTCGATTTTTTAGTTTTTCATCGCTTCACTTTTTCGTTTCCATTTTTCATTTATTTCATTTTTCAATTTTTGTATGTTTCAATTTTTCGATTTGCAATTATTCGGTTTTCAATTTTTCGATTTTTCAACTTTTAGACTTTTTAATTTTATATTTTTCAGTTTCTCGAGTTTTCAGTTTTTCGTTTCATCAATTTTTGACTTGCAATTTTGCTAGTTTTCATTTTAAATATATTTATATAAAAATAATAATTATAATTTTTGAAATTTTTCACTTTTTCAATTTTACCATTTTAAATTTTTTTCATTTTTCAATTATGGGATTTTAAAACCTTTTCGTTCATTCTATTTTTCAATTTTTTGATTTTTAATTTTTCTATTTTTCGATCTTTCAGTGTTGCAATATTTCGATTTTACAATTTTTGGTATAACTTTATTGTACAATTTTTGGGTTTCCCAGTTTTCCCATTCGATTCCTTTTTTTCCTCTTTCCAATTTTTCGATTCATCAATTTTTTTCGAATTTTTGGTTTCTCGATTTGCAATTTTTCGTTTTACAATTGAAAAAATAAAAAAATTGCAAAATTGTAACATTGAAAATTTAAAAATGGGAAAACAAATAAGTATAAAATGAAAGTTTTGAAAAATAAAAACTGAAAATCAAGAACTTGAAAAATCGAAAAAACGAATATTGAAAGTTAAGAAATATCCTAAAATCGGATAATCGGAAATCCAAAATTTCAAAACTGAAAAATTAAAAAATCAATTTTCTCATTTCCCGCTTTCTCTATTTTTTAATCTTCGATTTTTCGAATTTCAATTTCTCGATTTTTCAGTTTTTTGATTCTTCGTTTCAATTTTTCGATTTATCAATTATTATCAATGTTTCGATTTTTTAAGTTTTTTATTTCTTCAAATTTTAATTTTTCGCTTTTTCAATTTTGGTCTATTTCGAATTTTCAATTTTTAGATTTCACGATATTTCAAATTTTCGGTTTCTCAATTTCTCGATTTTTTGATGTTTCAATTTTTCACTTTTCCATGTTTCGACTTTTCGATTTCTCAGTTTTTCAATTTCAATTTTCAAAATTTCGAATTTTTGACTTGTCTATTTTTCGAATTTTCGATATTATAAAATTGAAAAATCAAACACGAAAAAACGAAAAATCGTAAAATGAAAATTTTGAAAAATTTAATAATTGGAAATCATGAACTTGAAAAATTGAAAAAACGAAAAATTTAAAACTCGAAAGACTGAAAATTGAGAAATTTGAAACTCAAAAAAATTCAAAATTGAAATACCGAAATATGTGTTGTATCTAAATATTAAAAATGAAGAAATCGTAAAGTAAAACCGAATAATTGGAAATCCACAAACTGAAAAATTGAAAAATTAAAAAAAATTGTTTTCCCATTGCTCGGTTTCTTAATTTTTCGATTTTTGGATTTTCAATTCTTCAATTTTGCCATTTCCAAGTTTTTGATTTTTCAATTTTTCGATTTATCGATTTTCAATTTTTTGATTTATATATTTTCAATTTTTCGATTTTTATTTCTTCTTAAATTTAAATTTTTTAGTTCCTCATTTTTCAATTTTTCGATTTCTCGATTTCTCTATCTTTTGATGTTTCGGTTTTTCCATGTTTCGATTTTTAGATTCCTTGATTTTTCGAGTTTTCGACTTTTTGACTTTTCGGTTTTTTTTTTATTCAAAACTTTAAATTTTCGGTTTTTTCATTTTTCGATATTCGAATTGTTTAATTTCGATTTCTCGACTATTCAATTTTCAGATTTTCAATTCTACAATTTTTCGATTCTTCAGGTTTTTGATTTTTCAGTTTTTCGACTTTTCGATTTCTTGATTTTTCATTCTTTCGATGTCAGTTTTTCAATGTTTCAATTTTGGGATGTTTCATTTTCTTATTCTTCGTTTCATTTTTCTTGGATTTTTCAAATTTTCGATTTATCGATTTTCAATTTTTCGATTCATGGATTTTCATTTTTCGAATTCTATTTTTTTTAAATTAAAATTATTTAATTTTTCAAATTTTAATTTTTCCGTTTTTCGATATTTTAATTTTTCACTTTTTCCATGTTTCGATTTTTCGCTTTGTCGATTTTTCGACTTTTCGACTTTTTGACTTTTTGAGTTTTCAGAATTGAAAATTTCAAATTTTCAATTTTTCCGTTTCTCGAATTTTCGATATTATAAAATTGAAAATCAAACACTAAAAAACAAAAAATTGTAAAATGAAAATTTTGAAAAATTTAATAATTGGAAATCATAAACTTGAAAAATTGAAAAAACGAAAAATTTAAAACTCGAAAGACTGAAAATTGAAAAATTTGAAACTCAAAAAAGTGCAAAATCGAAATACCGAAATATATGTTGCATCTATATATTGAACATGAAGAAATCGTAAAGTAAAACCGGATATTTGGAAATCCAAAAACTGAAAAATTGAAAAATTAAAAAAAATGTTTTCCCACCCTCGATTTCTCAATTTTTCGCTTTTCGGATTTTCAATTCTTCAATTTTGCTATTTTCAAGTTTTTGATTTTTCAATTTTTCGATTTATCGATTTAATAAATTCTTCGATTTATACACGTATTTTCAATTTTTCGATTTTTATTTTTTCTTAAATTTAAATTTTTTAATTGTTCAAATTTTAATTTTTCGTTTTTTAGATTTTGGGCTACTTCGATTTTTCAATTTTTAGATTTCCTGATTTTTCAATTTTTCGATTTCTCAAATTTTGGATTTCTCGATCTTTTGATGTTTCGGTTTTTCGATGTTT